TCCCATGTCATCATATTTGCCTTGAGGCCATGTAACACTTTCTTAGATGCTTGGCCTCCTTGAGTGCCATGGGTAATTCACCATAACAACTATCAATATTTCATGTGCTTCTGTGATCTTTGCAGCAAAGGGGAAAAATGGCCAGGGGAGCTGCAGAATGGCAATGTTTTACATTGCAACCAACCAATTTGTATTGACATCGAAGAATAGACAGTAAGTGCAAAACGCAGGAATTGTACAGTCTGAAAAAAACATTTACAATTCTGCAAGGATTTCCCACTCCAAGCAAAATACTGGAGTAGTTCACATTGACTAAAATCAGCCAAGACCGATTTAAGCTAAAGGTTAACGCCAAAAACTTATGAAGCAGCTTCCCACCATCAGAAATACTGACTTCAATAACTTCCCAGTGATTACAGTGGCAAGATGTGTCAGCCAACTTCTTCTTGCCACCATGGTATCATGCCCTTCCAATAGTTTCCTGGCAACATAATAATTGATGGATACATGAATTACAGTCTAATGCCTTTGGTAGAGCCTACAGGGGGGATGGGTAAGGCTCAATGACACAGACAGTTGCTGGTGTGGCTATTCAGAGAACCCCTACATAGAACTTCAGAAGTGGTAAAAGATCACCAGAAGGTGATTAGGTGAACTGATATCTACCCAAAACGAATGCCACCCAGAATTAGCTTATGAAGCAGCTGTTCTTCAGCTGAAATTTTGACATCCTTTATTCTCAGTGACTCAAGTGGCAGGATATCCCAGCCCAAATTTACCATTTCTTTCCATAATGGTATCTTGCCATCGTCTAATAGATCCCTGGCAACATAATAATTGATGAGTACATGAAGAACAGCTGAACGCCTTTGGGAGAGTCTAAAGAAGGGGGGAGGTTAGGCACAAAGATGCAAACAAGTTAATGATTCTGTATAAAGCATTACAGAACAGAGTACACAGTCCAAATGTGCTTTTCTGCTCCACTGCAACCAGGAAATTTTATTCAGAGAAAATACAAACCATACTGTAGATGCAGCTACAAACATATAAACACTGCCAGCTACTGGCTGAAGAATATATCTCTACTGAATACTTATGTAGTTGTTGCACAAAATACTTGAACACTGTATTCCAATAAAACATTTGATGGGAGGGCTGTACAGGGAACTCCTATACAGAGAATCAGTCGTTGTAGAAGACCACCAGCAGGTGATTAAGTGAATTGCTACCTACCCAAAATGGAAGTATTACTTATTAAGTGAAGTAAGCTTTTATAACAGGATTCAAATCAAATTTATAAAAACATTCTTTAGTTTACTTGCAATTTTTCAAATGTCATGAATTAATATTTTAATATAGGCATGAAGTTAGTAATCTTTTTCTATTTACAATGTGGCTGGGTTTGAGCAGTGCTGTGTTCACTTTAAGCATCTGAAAGATGCCAAAGAGTGGAACCTTGTGCCAGCCCGGTGCTAATCCCTTGCACCATTAATTGCCATCCTATTGCAAAAACACTTACACAAGGGCGAAACCGCTTAGCACATTACCACCATCAGCATTTATTGGATAAGAATTCAATTGCACACACATAATAAACACACGTAAAAACAGGTGTATCAAACTAGAAGCTCCAGCTGTAGGCAACATGATCTATTCCTAAACCAAACGGTTGAAAATCTGACACATTTTGAGGTAAACCTTCTTCAGAGCTATCCTAACCATATACAATGTTAACACTTAAAGCGGAACTTTACTCAACTGATAAAAAATAATGTTCTTTAATAGGTTACATACAGTGCTCATTAATAATTATGCTACCAATTAGTGTGTGCTGTAAATTGATTCCAGCATTATTCCTGTTTTTTTCTTGTTGGAGGCTGCCATCTTGTTGAAGTCCAAACACCTGAGCAGCAGTTAAAACAGAACTATCCTTTTCAGCCAAGAAAGCTGCCATCTGTTTGATCTGCAAATGTCATGGTGCTGCACATTTGATCAGTTATAACACCAGTCATTTGATGGTTCGACAGTTTGGTTGAGGACACAAGCAAATGTGACAGTTAGCATTCTTGGTATCCCAAGAATGTAACTGTTTTTTGAAACTGTTAAATCGATAGGTTTAGTTCCGCTTTAATCTTTAAACTGTGAACTGATCGGCCTCTACAAATTCGGCACAGTGCCTAAAAATTGATTCTTAAACAGTATCGGTACCTATTTTTAAAGTATTACATGGCTATACATGCAAAAGAGGTCAGACTGAAGTGATCTAGGAAGACAATTATCTGACTAAAGTTCCACTTTAATTAATACAACCTCAGAGGCCTCCTTAATGAACCTAAGGGCTGACGTAATCATCTATGGCTAGATGATGTCACCTACGGCAGGAGTTTTTAGTTTGGTATGCCTATTTTTACCTATGTTTTTGAGCATGCAAATTAATTCATATCCAAGAAATGCTGAAGGTGGTAGTGCACTAGGTGGTTTCATTCTACTGTGTGTATTTTTGCAGTTAGTTTGAAGATTACCAGACCTGAGGACTGGATCGTGCTACCAGCATTAGTTGCAAGGTTATAGGCTTAGCATCTTCATCCGAGCTGGAGTTTCGGATTTCTTAAATCAAATGGCCATCCTATGTCCAAAGAAGGCTACACCAAAGATGACACTGGCAGCTGTGGGGTAACAATTAAGAGCAAGAAAAGAGGTAAGTTTACCATAACATAGTATTTTGTGCTTATTTGGACATTATGGCAAGTGCATCCACTGCACTTTCACACTCTGCTACACTTTGGCTTCGATAATAAGTACCTAAAAATTGAAGGGAAATTGACAGGTGCCAATCAAAAAAAAAAAAAATAGAGCTAGCAGTGGGGGCATCTATCCAGATGGGCAGGATGTGAGATACTGTCAACTGTTCTGTGTTCACTAGCAGCCCTAAAGTAGGCAGAAAATAGAAATGTGAGTCTGACATTAGCTTTCTACTATGCAGCTGCAATTTTTTTAATTGCATTCAATTACATCGCGCTGGCACTTTACAGAGAACATACTTATACTACAGAAGATAGGAGACTGCAAATACACAGATATCACATTTGATATCAGTAGGACTATAATAGCTGGTTAGGGCCATTTAAGACTAGTTTGCTCCAAATGTCTCCATTTATTGCGAGGAAAAAAGCAATTCTCAATCCTCCGTGTTAAATCAGGGTATGCAAAGCTCATGAATAAATAACGCTTTAAGGGTGTAGAAGGAGGATATTTAAATTAATACATATCACACAGAATATTCATTTTAAAACATATAAATGAAAGCATTTGTGCCAGGAATGACAACAACATATTCATGGTCCAACACTTCCCTGTGATGCAAACCAACTAGCACAAAGCAAATGCTTTGTACAGTATAACAAACTGTGAACATAAAATGGCTTTCTGGCTAATAACCATACCATGATGCTTTCATAACAATGAGATGTAAAGAGATGAGCATTCCTCAGCACTGCACCACTCAAGACCAACTGACTTTGTTTTTTTCTGCTATTCCTGTGGCTACACCACTGATTTGTATTAGGGTTTTGACATAATGGAATTAGAAAGAACTTATATTATTGCTCTCTATAACTAGGCCTTATAGGCACAAACTTGTTGGAATGAAACAACATCCTACAATATCTCCCAGCTGTCCCTCATTTGGAAGGATGTGTCCCTTTTTGATACCAAATCCCTCTGTCCCTCAAGCCTTTCAGTAAGTTAGAGGGTATGCCCTACTACTAGGATCTGAACAGAACACCGAGTGTGGGTCCTAGGTGGGAGATTGTGCCACTATTTGGGTTGTGGTGACTTTAAATGAGAGTTCAAGGGACATTTAAGTACCTATAAGTTTTCAACCATGCAGGGTGAGGGGTTCCGGTTGCAGTCTACTTGGAGAGGACAGAACTGATTTCCAGGATTTTTAGGATGAGTAAGTCTTCATTTGGGACCTGGAATTTGGAGATTCTGAGAGATTTTATGTGGGAAAGAACCTCCAATCTCTGCTACAGCTGGGTTAACCCCTTCATGACAAAAATCTCCATACACAGAGTTCATAAAATGCACATGAAACATCCAACAGGTGTCTGTGAGTGGATAGCTTCACAGCTATCTGCAAGTGTGGACTTTCCAGCAACTGACGCGCGGTTTGCTGAATCCCTATGGCATTTGCAACACCCTGAAACAGAGCTATGACCTTGACCAAAGTTATGGACAGTTTGCTTTATTTTTGTTGTGCTATTTCTGTTTCACCTGTTTTGAAAATAAAAGATGGGAAGAACAGTGGCTAAGTGGTTAGCACTTCCGACTAGCAGCACTTGGGTCATTGGTTTGAATTCAAACCACAACACTACCTGCATGAAGTTTGCATATTCTCCCTGTGCCTGTGTGGGTTTCCTCAGGTTTCCTGACACACTTCAAGGACATGCTGGTAGAATAATGGCCTCCTATCTAAAATGACCCTAGTATGTGTATGTATTAATGTGAGTCAGAGACCTTGTAAGCTCCTTGAGGGCAGGGACTGATGTGAATGTATAATATATACGTAAAGTGCTACATAAAATTGATGGCACTATACAAGTACCTGTAATAATAGTAATAATAATTATAATATTCCGGGAGAACGTTCATAAATCGGATTAGTTTGTAAGTCCGACAAAGTGAGTCTTCGACACCTTTGACACAAATATACAATGTAAAGCATAAAAAAACAAACACAAAAATACTGTAAATAAACTATTTTTACTTTTACAGTTTCCTTAACCGTCTCCCGCACACCATATAGTGAGCGGGAGGCGGTTACGGTTCTCCAAGGCGGTTCTCTCATTCTGGGAGGACGTCGTATGACGTCCTCCCATTCTAACCACGCATGCGCGGCTCCAGGAGCGCGCAGCGCAGCAATCGGCGGTGCACTGTGTCCCTCGGACACAGCAGATCACCGGTCAACGGAAAGAGCCGAAGATGTCTGTTCGGTCATGTGATCAGCTGTGTCCAATCACAGCTGATCACATGAAAACAGGGAAATGCCAGTTATTGGCATTTCTCTCCTCAAGAGCTGTCACGCTGACAGCTCGAGAGGAGAGGAGAACCGGTGATCGGCATTCCTCGGAGGGGACATCTACACAGATCATCAGAGCACTGATGATCAGTGTGCCCTGATGATCTGTGTAGCCCCAGCAGTGCCACCTCTCAGTGTCCAGCAGTGCCAGCTGTCAGTGCTCATCCATGCCACCTGCCACCTGCCAGTGTCCATCAGTGCCACATTTCAGTGCCCATCAGTGCCACATCAATGCCACATATCAGTGCCCATCTGAGCTGCCTTTCAGTGTCACCCATCAGTGCCAGTCAGTGCCACCTATCAATGCCAGCTAGTGCCAACTATCAGTGCTGCCAATCAGTGCCGCCTATCAGTGCCAGTCAGTGCCGCCTGTCAGTGCTGCCTATCAGTGTGCATCAGTGCCACCTATCAGTGCCGCCTAACAGTACCAGTCAGTGCCACCTATCAGTGCCATATATGAGTGCTGCCTTTCAGTGCCCATCAGTGATGCCTGTCAATGCCCATCGGTGCCACCTTCCAGTGCCTCCTCATCAGTGCCCATCAGTGCCACCTATCAGTGTCCATCAGTGCAGCCTATCAGTGCCCATCACTACAGCCTCATTAGCACACATCAGTGAAGGAGAAAAATCACTTATTTACAAAATTTTATAACAAAAACTAAGAAAAAACTTTTTTTTTTTAATTTTCAGTTGTTCTTGGTTTGTTTAAGAAAAAATAAAAAACCCAGAGGTGATTAAATACCACCAAAATAAAGCTCTGTCAGAAAAAAAATGATAAAAATTTCATATGGGTACAGTGTTGCATGACCGCGCAATTGTCATTCAAAGTGTGACAGCGCTGAAAGCTGGAAATTGGCCTGGGCGGGAAGGGGGTATAAGTGCCCTGTAGGCTAGTGGTTACTATGGTGGTACAGTACATTTGTAAACAAACTATTTTTACTTTAACAGTTACCTTAAAATGGTGGTACAATACAGTACTACAACTGGCATATAGTGGAAGAGAGTTACTAACTGGAGGAGAGAGGGTAGGTGGGAGATGGTGGAGCTGAAGTATGATCAGTAATAGAAGATGGAGGGCAAGATGGAATTTGGCCCACACCTGATGATGTTGGAGCAGAAGGATCATCAATAATAGGAGATGTAGGGCAAGATGAAATTTCACTCACACCTGATGTTGATGACAGGTTTTTTGATGGATTCAATTCTTTCTACCCTCTGATAAAAAAAATGATCTAGTGATGTCTGAGTAGTAGCTCTTTTTTTCTTATCATAGATGACTCTGTAGCACTGGATGACATTCTGAAAGGCTGCTGTAACCTTTGTGTATCGTTCTACATTGGGGTCCTGTGCCTCAAAAACTAACAGTGCTCTTCAAGTAAAGAAAATCCCATTGCCATTTCCTGTGTTGTGAATCTCTTTGGTTATTCAGTTACCTCTTCCTCTTGGCTCTCTTAGTCTTTTCGCTGGGCCTCTAATTCCATCAGGTCCTCATTAGTAAGCTCCTCATGTTGCACAGCAAGAAGTTCAATGAAGTTGTCTTGCAGATCTAGCTCCAGCTTCGTGCTAAGGGTCACTAAGTTGTTGAAGACCTCTTTGGACTCCTTACCCATCTTCTCAAGTCCATGAACTTCATGAACAAACTGAGCAAAGGTTCATGGTGACCGCCGAAACCTCACGCCAAGCAAATGTTTTTGTTTTGATGCTTTTTATGGTTTTGTTGATATTATAGTCCTTCCAAAATTGTTGCAAGGTTGTCCCTGTTTCATCAATAGCCTTCACTGATGAAAAGTGTGATGTAAATAATTCTTGGAAGTCTCAATAACTCCTTGGTCCACAGGTTGGATGAGCGCCATATTAGTATTTGGTGGCAGATGCACTACTTTGACGTTGGGATGAAAGTCATCCATGAATTGGGGGTGACCTGGTGCATTGTCAAACAGCAAAAGAATGTTGAATGGGATATCTTTCTCCAAACAATATTTCTCTATCTCTGGCATAAAGTGGTGGAAAAATCTGTCCTGGAAAATGGCCTGTGTAACCCAGGCTTTGGAGTTACTCTTCCACACAACAGGTAGAGAGCCCTTGGCTATGTTTTTGAGGACTCTTGGGTTCTCTGAATGATAAACTAAGAGAGACTTTAGTTTCATATCACCACAAGCATTGCCACCAAACACAGTAAGTCTGTCCTTTTCTGTTTTGAAGCCTGGCATCACCTTTTCCCCTTTACTGATGTAACTTCGTTCTGGCATCCTCTTCCAGTAAAGTCCTGTCTCATTGACTGATTGAAAAAACCTGTGGGGGTAAATAAGGACCTTGTGTGGCTGGAAATTCATGGGCAGCTATGGTATCTGCACTCGCAGCCTCACCATTTACTTTTTCATTGTGAAGGTTTGCTCTAGCCTTGAATCTGTTAAACCATCCATGCTTGGCAGTAAAAGAAGCACGCTGTTCACACCATTTTTTCTTCAGGTCTTCAAACAGGCTTTTAGCTTTTTCTTGAATAAGTATTAAGCTGAATGAGACTTGACGCTGATCATGAATCCACACACTGAGAAATTTCCCCATCTCCTCTATCACTTTACCACACTTTTTGGATATTATTGTTGATGTCATAGGCACAGCAGACTTCACATATTCCATGATCTTGGCCTTGTTAGAATTGTGCCGATAGTTGAAAGATGTTATAAGAACAAACGATGTCTACCATCTTTTCGCCTCGGTCCAATTTCTCAATTATTTCCACTTTTGTTTCCATGGTTATTGCTTTGTGCTTCCTAGCAGTCCCCGCCACATCACCACTGCTTTTCCTCTTGCTTCCAGGCATTCTGGGCTTTGTACAGTACACTATCGCACTGTACAGTTAGCACACAGCAGCTCAACTGTGACAATGTCCGGAAGACACGTGAGCTACTTCCGCGATTTGTTCGCATTTACGAATGTTTGTAATGCGTGGTCCGTTCGTATCTGTGAAAGTTCGCAACTCGAATGTTTGTAAGTCGGGGACTTACTGTAATAATATTAATAATAAAAGGACTACTTGCATTTATCAATATGGCTGGTTGGTGATACCAAGCTATACATATTATAAATCATATAATTCACACAGACCATATTCTTGTTTTGCTTGTCCTAACCATGACACAAATTTTGTAGCAGTATTGCCAAGTTACAAAATTCTAATGCAGGTAATTTTCTATTCTCATAAATGTTTTGCCAAATGTATCATTTTTTTTTTTTTCATTTTTAACCACTTGCCGCCCAGCCACCGCATATAAACGGTGGCAGGGCGGCGCTCGTAGGCAAAAGCACGTTTTAAAACGGCTGCCTTCAAAACAGGTAGAAGGCGCGCGCCCGCCCTACCTGTCCCGCGGGTGTCGGCAGCGGGTGTCAGCCGACGGGTGACTGCTGGTTTTTACCAGCCGTTTTCCCACGATTGCCGGTGATCGCTAACACAGAGCAGGGCTGCATTGTTTACACACAGCCCTGTTCTGTGTCAGTTCTCTGACAGCTTGTGAGAAGCTGCAGAGTTTCTCTCCCTTGATCAGCTCCCCCCTCCCTCCCCCCTGTCCAGTACACACCCCCGCCCCCTAGTAAAACACTCCTCTTACACTGCAAATTCTAAAAATGTTAACCCCTTCCTCCCCAGTGACATTAGTACAGTTTCAGTGGGTTTTTTTCACTGATCACTGTATTGGTGTCACTGGGGATGTCAGTGACCCCAAGTCAGTTCCCCCCCCAGTGACAAAATGTCCGCCGCTTTCCCGCAGTCCTGCCATAAGTCGCTGGTCGCCGCCATATGTCGCTGATTGCCGCCAAAAGTCGCTGATCGGCGCCATTATTAGTATACATAAAAATTAAAAATTCCCGCCATTTGTAAACGCTATAACTTTCACGTAAACCAATTAATTTACAGGTATTGGGATTTTGTTTAGCAAAGACATGTCGCAGAATGCATTTTGGCAGAAATTTATGACTAAATTTGATTTTTGCATTTTTTTTTTTTTTTACTGGACATGTTTTATAGCAAAAAGTCCAAAATATTGTGTTTTTTTTTTTTTCTCAAAATTGTCAGCCTTTTTTTTTATAGCGCAAAAAATAAAAACCGCACAGGCGATCAAATACCACCGAAAGAAAGCTCAATTTGTGGGGAAAAAAAGGATGTAAATTTCATTTATGTACCGTATTGCATGACCGCGCAATTGCCCATTAAACTAGCACAGCGCTGTATAGCAGAAAAATGGCGTAAATTGCAGTATTTATACCATAGTTTGTAGACGCTATAACTTCCACACAAAGAAATCAATATACACTTATTGGAATTTTTTTTACCAAAAACATGGAGCAGAATACATTTTGGCCTAAATTTATAACCAACTTTGAGTTTACTATATATTTTTTTATAGCTGAAAGTAAAAAATATTGTTTTTCTTCAAAATTTTTGGCCTTTTTTTGTTTATAGTGTGAAAAATAAAAAGCACACAGGTGATCAAATTACACCGAAAGAAATCTCTATTTGTGTGAAAAAAAGGACGTAAATTTCGTTTGGGTGCGGCATTGAATGACCGCGCAATTATCAGTTGAATTAGTGCAGCGCCGAGTAGCAAAAAGAGGCCTGGTCATTAAGGGGGGTAAATCCTCAGGTGCTCAAGTGGTTAATAAACTAAAGGTTTTATTGAGTAGATCTGTGAAAAATGACTGTGTATGTTATATTAACAAATTTCTAACAGGCAATTCACAAATGTAATTGCACAGCTTTTTTCTTTCCAGCAGTCATTAACAGTATCTTTGTGTTTGGTAAGAAGAACAGGAACAGTCATTTGAAAGCTTCTATGTCAGTACTTCTGCTGATTATAGTGAAAAAATATTTGATTGATAACTATACTGGGAAAAACTACTAGTACATGCGTATTGTGTCAAATAGGCTGTAGGGGCTGACAAGAGGTTAGTTCCCAATCAAGGATCCTTTGTTAAATTTGACGGTAGGGTCAACACAAGCAATACAACTGACAATGATATACTGAGACAGGATGATTAGTACAGTCTTATAGTGACAGCCTTTATTAGTTGGATGGGGCATTAAAGTGTAAAATATAAATTCAAGAAAAAACATGCAACATATCACAACTTAACGGTCTTTGTATGAGCAAGCTGCATTTGTTTTCTTTTTTTCGGGTTTCTTGTCTTTTTTCACCTGTTGATCTTTCTCTCTGGGGTGACAACTCTCACTCACTTTACCGTATCTAAGGAGCAGTAGCATTGTCACCTTAGGAAAGAAACTGTGTTAGGACTACAGAACACC